GAAACTATTAAAGGAAAATAAAAGATAACATAGAGACCAAGCCTCAGACTCTGGAAATCTTGGGTTCCTGTCTTACCTGTAACATATACAAGTTGGATGCACTAGGGAATGTGGTATAGTGGAAAGCACACAAACTGTGAAGTCAAAAAACCTGGGTTCAAATTATGCCTCTGACACTTATTACCTGTGACCTTGAACAAGTTACTTAACCTCCTTGGGCCTCAGTTTCCTCAATTGTAAAATGAAACGATTGAATTAGATGGTCTCTTCCAATTCCAAATCAATGATTCTATTTAAACTCAGTGCTGTGGGCAACTTTCTTAAATTCTAAGTTGCAGAAGAGGTATAGACCTACATTGGTAGAGGAAGTTTCCTTTATTGAAAATTAGTTCATAGTTGCTTTCACTAGAGGTGTGCCTCCAAACAACCCTAAATTCCTTTTAAATGACATATTAGGATGTAAGATTGAACTGGATTTGCTTCTTATTTGGGTCCACGAATACATTTTCCACTTAGATATTTATTTCAAGTCTTATTTAAAAAAAAATTATTGTGACCATAGAATACAGTATTTTTTTTTTAAAACCAGCTTTGAGAATATTACAAAAATCCTACTTGAATGCCTTATTGTGGGGTGGAGATAATCTGTGTTCTCAAAATTGATGCCAGTAGAACACAAATTCTGACAGGTTGTATTCAGCATGTTCAGAAAATGGCTCCAGAGATGGCACTATATGTTTCTTTCCCAGAGACCAACCTGAGGTAAATTTATGGCGGTTCATTGCCAGATTGGTCAAGTGTGGGGAATTCTTTGACAATGGTTATTCCCAAAGCATCTCTACACAGTGCACTCCCCACAGTAACCATTCTAAACCTTCTTTTAAAGCCTCCTTTACCACCCCTTTCCCCCATTCTCTGATGAAGATCTCATTTCATACTTAGAAGTATCAACTGTCCCTATTCTTCCTTTACTCTAGTCTGATGAAAATGTGGTTCTTTTTGGCATTGAAATCTAACCCTTCTTCCTATAGGCTCTGGAAGATTGCCTCCATGATTATCCTTCTATTTCTCTCTAATTTTCAGTCTTTCCCCATCTATTGGTTCATTTTGTGCTATATACAAAATACTGGGTAAGAGCTCTGGACTTGGAGTCAGGAATATATGTGTTTAAATCCCACCTCAGACACTTACTAGTTGTGTGACCCAAGGCAAGTCACTTAATGCTCTGTGCCTCAGTTTCCTTATTTGTAAGGTAGAGATAATAATAGCACCTATCTCACTGGGTTATGAGGATAAAATTGAGATAAGCACAGAACTTTGTAAACCTTAAAGTGCTAAATAAATGCTAGGTATTATTTTAAAAGATGCTTATTTTCTCTTATCCCTGGGAATCTGACTTCAGGCCTCATTGCCTAACTGAAACTACTTTGTCAAAAATTGCCAACAATCAAATCTGAGAGCATCTTTTCTGTCTTACTGATTTCTCTGAAGAATTGGACACTTGACTACTGTCTCCTGAATACTTTGTCCTCTCTGAGTTTTTCCTGACTTGGCTAACATAGCACTTTAAGGTTTGCAAAGCATTTCCCTTTAATAGTTTGTTGTGGGATTTTGCCAGGAATCAAAGTTTACTAGCATTCTCCCTTTTAAAAAACTGAGACATTTGCCCTGTTTTCTTATTCTCTTCAGTCTTTTAAATCATACTGCGTGTGGCTCAGTCATCACATCTTCCAGTTCTCTTGGTACCCTGGAATGTAGGTCATCTCTGCCTGATGAATTGGATTCATCCAGAGCAGTTACATGTCCTCTCACTTATTTTATCTGTTTATTTCTTTTGACTTTTAACTCCTTATTAGCTATTTTCATTCTGTCCAAAGACCATCTTCCTTGGTAGAAAAATTAGAACCTAAATAAGAATTAAGCACTTTATTTTCTGTCTTTTGTCATCATTATCCCCTCCAACCTCAGCAATGGTTCTGTCCCTTTTAAGTTCTGTTCTTTGTTGTTTAAACAAACAAACAAACAAACAAACAAACCAAGCACCCTTTTTCTTGTCTTTAGCTTTCCTCTTAGCCTTAGCTCATTCTGTGCTTTAGCACTCATGGCGCTATTCATGTAAGATGCTGCATAGTTTCAGATTTATCTTTTATAACCTAATCCTACTTCCATCTTTTTTAAAAAATTATACATATGTATTTTCAATGAGTAAAAACTCATTTTCACCCTCCACAATTGAAAATGAAAGAAAAACTAAGCCCTTGCTACAAATCATCAAAGAAAACAGATTTCTGTGTTTGCCATGTTGAAAAAAATGTTTCATTCTACACTCCCAATCCTTCACCTCTTTATCAGGAAGTGGGTAGCATGTTTCATCATTATTCCTCTGGAATCATAGTTTGTCATTACATGAATCCTAGTCCAAAGTCTTTCACAGTTGCTAGTTTTTACTGTATTATTGTCACTGTATAAATTGTTCTCCTGGTTCTGTTCACTTCGCTCTGTATCAATTCATACAGGTCTTCCCAGGTTTCTCTGAAACCATCCTGTTCATCATTTTTTATAGCACAATACTATTCCATCACATTTTTATACCGTAATTTGTTCAGCTATTTCCCAGTTGATGGATACCCCATCAGATTCTAATTCTTTGCCACCTTGAAAAGAGCTATAAATATTTTTCTACATCCATAGTTAGAGTTTGTTTTGCTGAGGACTAATTCCTCTTTTAAATCTACCCCCTTCTCCCCATTCCCTCTTTTTTTCTATTGCATGGCCTTTCCCTGCACTAAAGAGTTCCTCAGGCATGCTCCTGGCCAGAACCCATCCCCATTATTTGCAGACCTCTTTTTTTGTCTTCTTGTACTGATCTAGGCTGGAAAAAAATGTCTCACTTTGACTTTTTAAAAACATTTCTTTGGGATTTGGTCTGTTGCATTTTATGTGTCTTTTTGGAAGTTTTTGGGAGAGTACACTGTACTGCTTCCTGCTGGTCTGATATCTTGGCTCCACCTCCCTGCTGCCATCTTCTGTACATTTCTTTTAAAAATTAGAGTTGGTCAGTGATTTCCACATGGATCCAAATTGGTTTTTCCTTTGCCTTCTCACTGGACTTATTTCTCTTTGTTTATTCAGAATTTTATTCTTGAATGCTTGCCATTTCTTATGGGCTTACATCCGTTGCAGAATTTTAGTATATGAGAGTCCACATATTCCTTCTCTGTTCTGAAATCTAGGATGCATGTGAGACTAAACTAACTTTTATTCTCCTTTATCACAAATCATAAAATTGAGTGGTCACTTCTCCAAGATTTCTGTTATTTCTATTTCAGCAAGTTATTCCTCCATGTTGATGTTCAGGATCAGGTCGAGAATAGTCAGTGAGTCAATCAGTTAACATTAATTAAGCATCTACTATGTGCCAGGCTGGGGATACAAAGAAAGTCAAAAGATGATCACAGCCCTTAAAGACCTCACAGTCTAATGGAGGAGATAGTATAAACAACTATGTACAAACAAGCTACAGACAAAATAAATAGGAAGTAATCAACAGTTGGAAAGCTCTATAATAATAATAAATAATAGCTAACATTTATAAACCACTCACTATGCATCAGGCACTGTACTAAACACTTTCCAATTATCTCATTTGATCTTCACATCAACCCTGGGAGATAGGTACTATTATTATCCCTATTTTTCAGATGAGGAAACCGAGGCAAACAAGTTTAGTGAGTCATCCAGGGTCACAGCTAGTAAGTGTTTGAGACTGGATTTGAACTCAGCCCTTCTTGGCTTCAGGCCCAGAACTCTATTCACTGCACCAACTAGTCACTTAACTTCTCTGTGCCTCAGTTATTTAATCTATATAACCTGCCTCACAGGGGCATTGTGAAGTTCCTCAACTTACTCACTTCACATGAGCTCCTCCTTTTCCCCACCTCAGCCACACATGAAGATGGTCATACCCTTGATTTTGCCATTACCTAGAAATGTTCCACCTCTGTGTTCAAGAATTCTGAAACCCCTCGTCTGACCATAATCCATTGGTTTTTCATTTCTCTGCCTTCCCTTACAAAATCCTACTCTTTGTCCATACCATGATCTCTAATCTCTTGACCCCTAAATTCTCTCCTAAGCCATCTCCCCTGCACTAACCACCCTCTTCTCTTTTCCCCATCTTGATCCCTTGATGAACGCACACGAGCACACGCGCACACACACACACACACACACACACACACACACACACACACACACACTCTTCATAAACTCCAGTGGCTCCCTGTTGCCTCCAGGTTCAAATACAAAATGCTGTTTGGCAAAGTCCTTCATAACCTAGCCCTTTCTACCTTTCTAGTCATCTTACATCTTATTCCCCAACATGCACCCTTTGACCCAGTGACATTGGCCTCCTGGCTGTTTCATAAACAAGATACTGGATCTCTTAGCTCCAGGCATTTCTCTGACTGTCCCTATGCCTGGAACAATTCCCCTCCTCATCTCTTTTTAACTGACCTCCCTGGCTTCCTTTAATTCCCACTAAAATATTACCCTTCTTTTATTGTAAACGTCCCCCAACCCCTCTTAATTTTAGTGTCTTCCCTCTGTTAATTACTTCCTAATTATCCTGTATGTAGCTTGCTTTGTATATATTTTTGTTTGCATATTGTCTCCCCCATTAGATTATAAGCTCCTTGGGGGCAGGTACTATCTTTTGCCTTTTTTTTTTTTTTGGTCTCCCCAGTACTTAGCATAGTACCTGGAACATAGTAGGTACTTATTAAATGTTTATTGATTGATTATTGAAGGTCAAATGAGGTAAAATAGGTAAAGTATTTTATAAATGGTAAATCTCTATTTAAATTCTAATTGTTATTATATGTGGGGAAAAATTATGTTGAACTTTCCAGCAATTATTTAAGGCAGAATCATAATCTTTCTACCTTGTCAAAAGCTTTCCCTAATTCTAAATACCTTTTTGGATTTTTTTTTTCTTAAAGGAAATTTGAATATAACTTTGGAAGAAGACTTCTTTCTCAATATTTGAACTACATATAACAAGGCCATCAGAATGTCAGGAGCCTCAGTGAAGGTGGCTGTTCGGGTCAGGCCCTTCAATTCCCGAGAGACCAGCAAGGAATCCAAATGTATCATTCAGATGCAAGGCAACTCAACCAGTAAGTGCAGCATTCTGTTTTGTTATTATACAAATTGTATCTTCTCTCCACTTTTGCGTCTATTCCCTCTAGTCCACCTAGTATAAGTACTAATATTCTTTCTCTTTGAACAGTCTTTGAATTATCCAATAAAGGACAAGGAGACTCCTTACAGCACGTTTAAATACAAGCCATTTGATTATTTAGTTATCCTGTTTTGAAAAGGCAGATTGGGAAGTACATGGCTATCTGGATTAGCCTAGCTAGGATTATTAATAGATTACTAAAGCTATAAGCAGGGACGGTGTTTGAGTGCTGTGATTCATATCAGTTTACCAAACACTTAATGAGCGGCTGAGCCAGACCCTCTGCTGAGTGCAGGGGTTACAAAAACAAAAAGACAGTAATCTCTGCTCTCAGGAAGCTCACCCTGTACTTGTGTGAGACTGTGAATCTTTGGAGGCTTCTGTGGTACATATTTTGATTTCTCTGTACAAATTATTTTTCATTTGCAGTTTCACATAGCAAACAGCCTTGGCAAAAGTTTTATCAGCTTTCAAATGTCAGTGCTACAAATTATGCTTATTCCTTCACAGTAGCTGTATGAGTTCAACAGTTCAGTTCAACAAACTTTGAAAAGCGTTGAATGTGTCCATAGATCTGTGCTTCCAGAGAGATAATGACATCTACGTAAGACTAACAGGGGCAAATGACAATGATGTAACAACATGATATATAAGTTCATTGGAGAAGTATAAAATAAGTGCTTTATGATGTCTGATGGGGAAAAGGTCATATAGTTATTATTTGTAATAGGCTTCTAAAAAATTTACCAGAATTAGCAGATTCTCTCGATTCAGTCTTTTCCCATCTACTTATTCCTAACTTGTTATCTACAAATTTCATAAGTATCTCCTGTCTTTAAAAAATCCTCACTAGTTCCTTTCATTCCTGCTGATTATCCTCTCGTACAGAGATGTCAAACATGTGGCCTGCAGACATCCCTGGCCAGCAGATTAAAATGTAATAGAGCAATATTTAAGAAAATAAAAATACAATAGAACATTATTGTTGTTCAGTCGTTTTCAGTCTTGTCCGACTCTTACTAACCCCATTTGGGGTTTTCTTGACAAAGATACTAGAGTGGTTTGCCATTTCCTTCTCTAACTCATTTTACAGTAATGAGGAAACTGAGGGAAACAGGGTTAAGTGACTTGACCAGGGTCACACAGCTAGTAAGTGACTGAGGCTGTGCTTGAACTCAGGAAGATCACGCTGGGCACTCTGTGCAGTATGTTGCCACCTAGCTGCCCTTACATAGAAAATATTAATATCTGTCTTTCTAAGTCAATATACCTGCTGGGATCCTTATCTATGGTTAATATTACCCACCCCTTTTTATTTGAGTTTGAACCCACTGTTTTAGTATGTATCCTCTCCTCACCTAAACTCCTTGAAAAGGACATCTATACCCTGTGCCTCTACTCCCCCTCCTCTCATTCTCCAGCCTTCCAAAGTCCAGCTTCTGACTTCATTATTCACTGAAACTTCTCTCCAGTGTTTACAGTGATCTCTTAATTGTTAAATCTAATGCCCTGTTCTTAATCCTAATTCTTCTTGATCTCTGGACCGCTTTTGATACTGCTGATCACTGTCTCATCTTTTTCTCTTCTTTGGGTTTTTATGATTCTTCCCTCCCTTGGTTCTCTTCCTACCTGTTTGACCACTCCTGAGTCTTCTTTGCTGGATCTTCATTCAGGTTTCTACCACCAAATATGGGTGCCACTTCTGCCCCTCCTCCCCTGCCACATGTGTCTGTGCCTTCTTTTCCCTGGGCTCTCATTTGGTGATTTTATCCACATGCCTGGATTCACTTAATGCTGTGTAGAAAACTTCCCTCTTTATCCAGCCTTAGTCTCACTCCTGAGCTCAAGTGTCACCAAGTACTCATTTTAGATTTCAAACTAGATATCCCATAAACATATCAAAATCAACATGTCCAAAACAGACGGAACTCATCTTTCCCCCCAAAACCTACCCCACTTTTGACTTCTCTGTTACTATCTAGACCACCACCATTCTCTCAAGTTCAAAACTTTGGAGTCATCTTTAACTTCTGTCTTTTCATTCTTCCTTAAATCTCACATGTTTGCACCTCCCTGTACTTTCTCAGTTGATAACCTTACCTCATATTTTATTGAAAAAATTGAGCCATCCACTGTCAGTGCCCTTTTTTCTCCTCTTCCTCATCTCATATCACCCAGATGTCTTCTACCATTATCTTTTCTTTCACCCTTGCCTCACATCAAAAGGTGACCCTTCTCCTTGCCAAGGCTAACTCCTCTACATGAATAAGTGATCTCATTCCATCCCATCTTCTCCAACAGATTGCCTTCTCTCATCCCCACTCTCACTTATCTGCAATCTCTCCCTCCTGGCTACTTCTCTACCGCCTACAAACATGCCTATGTCTCCCCCATCCTCAAAAAAACTCCCTTGATTCATTCATCTCTGTCAATTATTGTCCCATCTCTCCTCATTTTTGTGGCCAAACTCCTTGAAAAGGCTGTTTACAATAGGTGCTTCCACTTCATCTCCTTTCTGTTCTTAGCTCTATAATCTGGTTTCCAGTCTCATCATTCAGCTGAAACTGCTGTCTCTGAAGTTCTTTACCTCCTCTCACATGCATTCCCTTTGCTCCACTCACAGGGCTGCTGCCCTGGGTTCAAGGCTCCTCTCCTGGACTACTGCAGTAGCCTTCTCATTGGATTCCCTGCTTCAAGTTCTCACCCATCCAGTCTGTCCTCTCCATAAATGCTGAAGTGCAGATCTGACACCCTCCTCCCCCAACTCACATTTCACTCTGCTGGCTTCCCATTCCGTCTCGGATCAAACAGAAAATTCTTGTTTTATCGTTGAAAACTCTCAATCTGACTCCTTCTAGTATTTCCATATCACTTGCTTCTACGTCTTTTATGGTCCAGCCATCCTAGCCTACTGGCTCTTTCTCACACACAATATTCCAGTCTCACCTCTCTGGGCCTTTTTTCTTGGTATTTCCTATGCCTGGAACGCTCTACCTCCTAACCTGCCGTTTAGAATCCCTGGCTTCCTTTAAGAGTTAGTAAATTACCATCTGCTCCAGGAAGCCTTTCTGATCTCTCCTTCCTAATTAGGATTTAAGCTTCTCAAGGGCACGGATTGTGTTTTTGTTTTTCTTTGTGTCTCAACACTTAATGAATGCTTGATTGATTTTTTTTTTTGGTTTGTTTTCTGCAAAGAAATACAGTGAAATTAAATGCCAAAAAATACCTTTTCCATGTTCAGGAATGAATTTCTACTTGCCCTGGGTCAGTTGGCAAGTGTATAATAATAAGAGGAGTAGTGTCACCATCTTTAACCTTCCTTCTCTTAAAAAACAAAACAAAACAAACCTACAACTCCATGAAATTCACCAATAAAACAGAAGGATGTCACTAGTTGAAGCAAGTTCAACTTCCTTCATTGAATGTTAAACTGCCTACTGAATATTTAGAACTGGACATCTCATAGATATCTTAAATCTATTAAGTCCTTATCTTTCCCCAAAAACTCTCCCCTCTTTCTCACTTCTCATCATCCTTCCAAGTTAACCTGGCTTGCTACTTAGGTGTCATCCTTGATAACTTACTTCTCCCCTCCCCCCCACACTTCTTTTTGATCCAGTGACCCCTGGCCTCCTTATTGTTCCAAGAACAAGATACTCCATTTCCAGATCCAAGCATTCACTTTGGTTGTTCCCCATGCCTACAGTGCTCTTCTTTCTCCTCATCTCTGCCTGCTGTTATTCCTGACGTCCTTGAAGTCCTAACTAAAATCCCATCTTCTACCAGAAGCCTTTTCCATTTCCCTCTTAATTCTAATGCCCTTCCCTCTTTTAATTATTTTTTCTTTTATCTTGTAAATGTCTTATTTGTACAAATCTGTTTTTTTGTGGTCTCCCCCATTAGACTGTGAGCTCCTTGTGGGTTGCAATTGTCTTTTGCTTAGCATAGTGCCTGGCACATAGGAGGCACTTAATAAATGCTTAATAACTGACTGGATCTTGTTGGTCCAGAATACTTTGGACCTGACTGATTCCTCAGTCACTCTCAACCTTATGCCCAGTCAGTTGTCAGGTTCTGTCATTTCTATTTTGGTAACCTCTTGTATATGCCTCCTTCTCTGCTCTGACACTACCACCATCCTGATGCAGATCTTTATCACCTCATGCCTATTGGTTGGTCTCCTTTCCTCAAGTCTCTCTGTCATACCTCCAGTCAGCTGTCAAATTCAGCTTCCTGAAGTATAGGTCTGACCATGTCACCCAACTATTCAATAAACTCTGGTGCTTTTCTGTTGGATCCAGAATCAACTATAAAATCCTTTATTTGGCTTTTAAGATTCTTCATATTCTGACCCCTTCTGGCCTTTCCAGTCTTCTTACACCTCCCGTATATTCTGGGATCCAATGATATTGGCCTCCTTGTTGTTCCTCCAACTTGACACTCCATGTCTTCACTCTGAGGATTTTTACTGGCTGTTCCTTGTGCTTTGAATTCTCTGCCTCTTCATCTTTCTCTCCCTGTCTTTCTTTAAGTCTCAGCTAGTGTTCTGCCTTCTGAAAGAAGTTTTTCCCAGGTATACTTAACCTCTTAGACTACCCCCATATTTATTATGTATATATCTTGTTTGTACAGAGTTGCCTTCTCCATTAGACTGTGAGCTCCTTGAGAGCTGGGGCTGTTTTTTGTTTGTTTGTTTTGTTTTGTTTTCTTTGCTTTGTATCTCAAGCGCTTAATTAACACAGTGCCTTAGCACATAGTAGGCACTGACACTAAATAAATGTTAGTTGACTGAATTAGTGATTTCTTCTTTTATGTTGTTGTAGTCACTTTGTTTATATTTGTTTTTGTTCTTATTTCACTCTCTATCAGTTCATACAAATCTTTTCGCTTTTCTCTAAATTCTTCACATTCATCATTTCTTATGGTATAAGAATT